GGTTTTCATATGGATTATTTTGATAATTATTAAGATAATATATGATAAGCTAAAATCAACTTCTCTGTATGTTTTCTTTTGTAGATGTGATTTCTGAGGTGGAGGTGGAACCACTGAATGGTAAAGTGCACTTTCATTTGAATGATTAATATATTGAAGACACAGTTAATGTGTCCTGTAGTTGCCATAAGCACGAGTGCAGTGCTACCTCTGCCAAGGAGCTGAGGTTTTTGTCTGTTTGTTATTTACCAGGATGATGCAAAGAGTACTCATGGAATAGCCATGAAATTATTTGGACCCATTCAATTTTGATGCAGATCCAGATAACTGTCGTTGATTTCTCAGGGAATAACTCATGGATGTTGATGATATAAATCAGGGATATTTAGGAGACTGATATTTACGAATGAAAAATCCAGATCTAGTGAATTTAAATGTCTTAATTGGAAACGTGCTATCATGCCATGTTAAAGAAATAAAAACAAAAAATTCCTGGATCCACCTGATAATCCAGAACTAATAGGTTTTCTTTATGTCATGAACCACCCTTCCAAAAAATTTCATGGAAATCACTTTAGTAGTTTTCAAGTAATCCTGTCAGTCAGACACAAATGGCAATGAAACATGACCTTCTTGGCAGAGATACAAATATATTTTTATCCTTATACATGTAATCAACTAGAGTGTGATCATACCACACATTAAAGCAAAAGCATGACTACTATATGTTGTGTATCATGTTGTGTATTTCAGGTTCACATCATGGCGTCATTGCTGCAGCAGTGCTGGTGGCTGTACTCATCTTTGCCCTGCTGGCAGGAGCAATGTGGTTTGTGTACAAGAGGAACTATGCACGCTTTCGTGGGATCCCGATTCTGGGAAGTGCTTATTACAGACAAACAGGCTCCCAGTCTTTAGAGTCAGATGGAAATGTGCTGATGACGGACCTGGAGGCTCACTCAGGAGAATAGCTCTCAGCGGCTCCCCTTTCCTATTTAAAAGTGTTCTCCATCTCTCATCCGCTTCATCATCAGGTACGAATGCCACAAGACACTGTAAAGCTTTGATGCTGACTCCTCAGGACAGTGGTGAGACGATGACAGCAAAATATTTCTTTGGTTCATCCAAGGAAAGGTGTTAGAAGGACCCCAGTCGACCTCTGTCCGCAGTTTTCATTTACTCAAACCATCTCTATGGGACGTGCTTGTGAAGATATTTCCTGTATTGACACTGAATATAATGCATTTGAAATTCTGTTGTTTGAAGTAGATGAACAAAGTTCACACAAATGAAAATGTTGAAGAAGGGATGCTAGCGATCTTTGTAAAGGAGATACTAAACAATTACTGTCAGTAAGAGGATTTAGTGTGATTGGGTCACACTTTATTGG